AGTTCCTAATGCAGTTAAATAATAACATTGAAGATTTGAATGGCAGTCTTTTGATGAACGGAGAAAACTTAGTTATCAAGGCAAATCTTTATTGGAGCCAGATCACAAAACAGGTGGGGATAGAACCCATGGCAGGGAAGTTCTGCCAGTTTTAAGACTTCACTGCCACTGGTTCGAGCTCCACCCATTCTGTGATATGTTTACAATCTTTATTGGAGACCTTAACAAAACTGTCCAATAATGCCTTGCCTTTCCTTATCCTTGGTTTACCCACTTTATATGTACGTAGATATTTAATTCCTGTTATACCAACAAGTATATTGTACTTGTGATATTTATGGATATGCCAGCAGATATAATGTACTTGTGAAATATACAAATATGTTGGTTATATTCTGTTCTAACGACCCATCCACTTATTCCGAGGGCAGTGGAGAGAGAGATATCCACGGTGGACTTCGGCTGCCTGGACCCATGCACGTACACACACCCGCACAATCATATATAAACATGATAAGCTCTACGTCTTATCTGAAGGAGTGTTTCCCACCATTTGTGTCTACTGTGATGAATGCACACGACACACTGCACACGGCTCTCTAGGTGATGTGCAGCTCAGTGGCAGTGCTCATCTCAATTAAACGTGTCCTTAGTTTGATTCCTGGGCAAATCTTACCCCTGATGACCTACCAGTAAATATGTACTTAGGTGTTAGCTTTTGTAGCTCTCATCCTAGGGAGAACTTTTATGTAAATAAGCCACATTTACTTTTTGGGGGTTATTGTTGGTTATCATTATCTTTGGCTTAATACACAACAACAACATCCACTAAAAAAATTTAGTGTCAAGATCAAAGCATTGCAAGCTGCTCCACATTGTGTCTTCAGTGCTCCACTGAGGTTCCTTGCAGTGAAAGATTAAAAATGCAGGCATTAAGATAATACAAATTATCTTAATGCCTGCAAATTATCTCAATGTCTGACCCAGTTTGGGTCAGACAATGCCTGAGGAAAGGGAGGCAATCAAGTTTGATGTAAGGGGAGTAAAAATTCAATTCCTTGAATCAAGTGCCCCTCACCAGCATTTAGGAACCTCCCTCGAGAGATAGAAACAGCAGAGACCATTATTATTACAATCAGTACCAAGTGCAAAGAGCATCATTATTATAATCAATACTAAGCGCTAAACACACGAGGGATAATGAAACCACAAATAATTGCAAAGAGTGCCTCCTGAGGTGATAATTACTGTATTCATAGGAAGAATTAAGACCATAGGGGTCACAGAATGCCTGGGAAATGGTAGGTAATTAGGTTTGATCCAGCTAAGGGACTGCATGATCCTTGTCGGTTTAGTGCTTTATTATTTGATAATAATGAATTAATTATTAATAGTTAATAATAATAATAATTATGAAGGAGGGGTGTTAATGTTGCAGTTTAAAAACTGTAGTGTAAAACACCCTTCTGGCAAGACAGTGATGGAGTGAATGATGGTGAAAGTTTTTCTTTTTCGGGCCACCCTGCCTTGGTGGGAATCGGCCAGTGTTAATAATAATAAAATAACGAAGGGAGAATTATTACATTTATATTACTATAATCAAAACTAAGAGCTAAACCCATAGAGGTCATATAGCACCTGGGAGAATGGAAGACATTCAGGCTCAATTCAAGGAATTGGAGCACAGGTTCAATTCTTTTTATCAGGAGCCCCTCACAAGTATCAAGAAACCTCCCTTGATGGGAACTAAGGGAGTGGTAGTTCAATTTCTAGAGATGAAAATTTGTTTTATTGGATCAAGAACCCCTTGAAGTGGCAAGTATAATTAGACATTGACTAGTTCAACATCAATGGCAATCATGACAAGGTGAGAGTTGGTTATGAGATGTTGTAGTAATACATTCACTGGGGAGAGAATACTAAACCCTAGGGGTCATGTAGCCTCTGTGGAATGGGAGCCACTCAGATTAAGGAAGGGGAGGAGGATAAGTCCAGTTCCTTAGATCGAAAGCTATTAAATGCATCAAGGTAACTCTACTGAAGAGCCTAGGAAGGTTGTAACAGTATAGCATCCACTACTGTTCCCCAAACAAATCCATTTGTTTTCTCATTTTAACACTTTACTAATGTAATAATAATATAATCAAATTAAGTTCTAAACCAGAGAGGATCATACAGCCCTTTACTGATATGATCTCCAATCTGTCATATATTAGGAACCACTGGAGCATTTTTCCCTTTATTCCTGTTTGCTCTTCTAGCTAAATTTAAGTTAATTAGGGGGAAAAAAAGCACAAAACTAAGGGTCATACAGCACCTGGAAAAGGGAAGACATTCAGGTTTGATCTAAGGAGGATAAATACAGTTCCTGGATCAAAACAATCCGCCTTAAGAGGTTCTAGTTTAAAACTGTCATCCTTAGTCGAGTAAAGCAATCTAGAAATATTCAGGGCATTCCACCCTAGCTGTTTTATTTTATACGTCTTAAATGTTTAAATTGAAGGTTTGAGAAAAAAATTTTTTTATCCCTACAACCACGATGGTTTTCCTCTGCAGCAGCTTCTCTTCTCCAGGTCCCTTGTAATGGTATAAATTTAATTTATTCTTAAGTTGTTTCCTCACTTCTTCCACGGTGTGGATAGTTTCTAGTTTGTTGCCAGACTCTTGCTCTTAAGAGACTCCCTTCATTCTACCAATTTTATTGTTTTCACAGGAGAGGTTTAGCACTTAACCAACAAGGGCCTTTTAGCACCTGGAAAATGGGAGGGGGGAGGCAACAACCTGGTTTGATCCAAGGAAGGAGAGAACAGATCCAAGTCCTTGGACAGAGGGTGCATCAGTGCACCCTGATTGATTCTACCATGAAGACGTACATGAAACTCCTTTCATATAATACTACAGTAATTCAACAGAGAATGTCTAGCATATTGAGGCAGTCTGGGACTGGGCAAACAAGAATTTAACCCTTCATATAAAGTAGGTTTCAAAAGGGAGTAAAATAACAAGCTCAATGACCTGTAATTTGATTCATGGGCAAATCTTACCTTTGATGACCTAATAGTAAATATATACAGGGAGGCCCCATTTTACAGCACTTTGCTTTACAGCAGTTTTTAATTATACCATTTTTCATTTATTCAGACTTCCTACAATAAATATATTCATCACTCACTATAAGCTAAGGATAAAAATATTTCAAGGTAAGTAATGTGTGTACTGTATATGCATTTTTTTTAGGCCCAACTATATTGCTCATTTAATATATGATGGTGTAAATATGTTCCAAGCTTCTGCTTTACAGCAGAAGCCCAGAACCTAACCTGCTGTATAACCAGCTAAAAGCTACCTTACACCTAGAGGGCCCCCCTCTAGGTGTAAGGTAGCTTTTAGCTTTTGTAGCTCACATCCTAGGGAGAGCCTTAATAAGCCACAAGCGGAATAACTCATATGGGTCATTCAACACAACAAAATGCATATGAAAATACAATAACAGATTGTTACTGTTCAGTAATGACTCCTTATTACATGTTGAGAAATGGCATTTACATAATTTTTCATACAGTTTTGCATTACTATAGTATCTTCAGTGGTGGGCACAGTTATCCAAAAAATTTAGCTTCGCTAACCGCTAATCCACTAACTAAAAAATTAGCTCCGCTAACACTAAACCGCTGAACGGCCGAAAAAATTAGTGGAAGCCAACGCTAACCACTAACTTTTTCACATGAATTCAGATTCGGTTTAGTTTTTTGGTCTTCTACTTATACTTTTAAGACTTTTTAGAACAGACCTGGATAACTTTCTAATACGATACAAGGTTTTAATGAGACAATATTGCCCCACAATAAAGAAAACTCTTGTTATTTTTTTAGGCATATGGAAAGGACAGTGTTGCAAACAGTACTCATCTTTAATACTCGAGTATAAGTACCAGTGTTGTAAAGTAACGAAGTAAAACTACTCACGTACTGTACCTGAGTAACTTTTTTCGGTATTTACTTTTTAAAAAGTACTGAAATTGCTCACTACTTTTACTGTTACTTAAGTACTGAAATCTGTTATTACTTTTACTTCACTACAAAGTGATAACGATAAGTTACTCGGTGCAGACTCCTCAACAACACCCTCAGGCGGAACAGATACATCTCCCGTTCATAACGATAAGTGACAACGCATCCCAGTGATCGCTGACACTAAGACTATAACAATGCTGCTGCTGCGTTGACAGGTCATGTTTACATGTAGTCAGCCAATAGCGTGCCTGACTGTTGGAGAAACGCCCATGACAGGCAGGAACAAACACGTGCGCCATTGAAAAGGCATTGCTTTCCGACTACCAAGAATGTATGATTTTTTTTTTTTTTTTGCAGACTCAGAGTTAGCGGAACTTTATTTAGCAGAAGCTAATTGGTCCGGTAATGGTTTACCTGGAGTTTACCTGGAGAGAGTTCCGGGGGTCAACGCCCCCATGGCCCGGTCTGTGACCAGGCCTCCTGGTGGATCAGAGCCTGATCCACCAGGCTGTTGCTGCTGGCTGCACACAAACCAACGTACGAGCCACAGCCCGGCTGGTCAGGAACTGACTTTAGGTGCTTGTCCAGTGCCAGCTTGAAGACTGCCAGGGGTCTGTTGGTAATCCCCCTTATGTATGCTGGGAGGCAGTTGAACAGTCTCGGGCCCCTGACACTTATTGTATGGTCTCTTAAAGTGCTAGTTTCCGAAGTTAGCGGAAATGCTAATCCGCTAAACAAAAAGTTAGTTCCACTAATTAAGTGGAAATGTGCCAACCACTGATTATCTTTTTGATAATAACACTGCTGTTTTAATGCAATTTTGTTACTTGAAATAATCATTACATTTAATAATCTTATTTCAGAGAATTATACAGCTACATACTGTCAAGTAGTTTTAAATTAGTTTTCTCATTAATAAAGATGTCCACTGTATCCAAGGATTTATGCTACATTGTCGGGTTATATTATGGCATATAAAAATCAAGAATAATAAAATACTTTACTGATCATATACTATAAAAATTTCAAGAGATACAAGTAGTACTGTAAGCTATTAACAGTAATGTAATTGCAAAAGTTGGGTCTGACCATAAATATATGCAGAGCACTGTACACAAACTAAAATATTACAGCAGGAAACTGAATTTCCTGAATCTACCACTAGCAACTAATCAACTACAGCAATCTGCCATGAGACTGACTGTAGTAAAGTATTTACTGTATATCTAATATCACATAAATGTATCTCTTGAAAACATTTTAGGTTTTGTTTTTGTTTTTTTCAACAAGTCGGCCGTCTCCCACCGAGGCAGGGTGACCCACCGAGGCAGGGTGACCCAAAAAGAAAGAAAATCCCCAAAAAGAAAATACTTTCATCATCATTCAACACTTTTACCACACTCACACATTATCACTGTTTTTGCAGAGGTGCTCAGAACACAACAGTTTAGAAGCATATACGTATAAAGATACACAACATATCAAGTACCATATTTAAAATTTGAGATCCCATAGGATACATGTAATTATATAAAATACAGTACATACAATAATGAGGAACAAAATTAGAATAATATATTTTGCAGCAGTAGTATTAATAATAAAAAACAATAAATTCCTATACAATACTAATAGTAAAGTAGGAATTCTCGACTTTTGAGACTTATGAATCTGTTCGTTGCTTAAAAGTAAAAAAGAGAATTTAAATATAGAAAATCAGAGCATCAACGTTTGGTAGCATAAAATTAAAACAACTGTATAACAAGGTTGACCTTTCCTGGTACAGTATTTTCTTTGCATGAAGTCCCATGTTATGTATACCTGTAGTACAGTCCCCTTCCTAAAATCTTCTGATTATTTTAGAGCAAGACCAGTTGTGACAATTTTGCATACTATATGCCGATCAAATGTGCATGCCATGCTCACTGCCAACTGCTTGTAGACATATAATTATTTCCATTACCTGAAATGTACAGAGGGTCAGTTATAAGTATAGTAAGTGTTTAAGGATGTTTATATTCAATAGGCTATTTAATGCGTTAATTGAAATAAATGAGTAGGCACAAGACATTCTAATATTTAATGTACAATAAATAAAAATTTCATGCTGATGCAATGTTGGCATACTTTACATGTAGCAATGTATTGTACCTGCTGCAGGAACATCACATATGTAACTTAAGTTAATCCTGTACAAAAATGACTGTCAGGGACAACTATTACAAAATCTATAAATATCCACAGAGTAATGAGAAAGAAGCAGCCATGAAGTACAGGAGAGAGGCGTGTGCAATGGCTTGTGAAGTAGCGCTGTGATCAGGGAGAGTTGCTAGAATGCGTACAGGTGCGCCGCTGCCTCCCCGAATCTTCATAGGCATTACTGTCACATGGAACCCAGTGATAGGCAATTTCTGTTGATAAAATAAAATTTCTTACACACTCTAATAGGTAGGTATATACTAAAGTTAATTATGAAATTTGAAGAAAGCACATGTTGCAATAAAAGACAAATTTAACACACAAGATAAGATTAACAAAAAACTATTTGCATAAATAAAGCACACAAGACAAATACAATCACTTCAAGTTAAAATATCTAGCATGTTCCCGATACTCAATTGACAGTTTGACATGGGTCCATGTCTCAGAATTTAGAACAAAGGTAACTGAGTAAGAAAAGACTCCCATAGGCCACCACTCGAGTCATAATAGGGAGATCAGCACCTGCAGCTCCCCAATTTTCCCCAGCATCATTTAATATTCTATTATAAAAAAAGGCTTGTCACAATGTATTCTAAACTTTAGAACTATAAATAAAAGTAATATCTTTGAAAGAAGAAATAACTACATTTAAAGTTATAAATGGATGTGAAAAGTAGACAGGATTTGATTTGTGCCAGCAGTAAGGAAAACAAGAAGCCATGATGTAAAACAACATGGAGCTGTAGAAAGGCTATTAGAAAAAAAATTAATAAGAGTAGTGGATGACTGGTATGAAATCTTAAAATGTTTTGCCAAAATCAGTTTTTAAAAATAAATTTTCACAGCTGAAGCATGAGCTCTATTCCTGTAGCTGCAAATACAGAATTATTTTTTAAAATGTCTGCCATTTCCCACTGAGGCAGGGTGACTCCCCCCTCCAAAAAAAGAAAAGCTCAAAAAGAAATGAAAAAAAATCTCATCATTCAACACTTTCACCATCACTCATACATAATCACTGTCTTTGCAGAGGCGCTCAGGTGCGACAGTTTAGATGCCCCTCCAAACAGCCAATATCCCAAACCCCTCCTTACTTCCCACTTCCAGGACTCAAGCCCGGCTAACCAGTTTCTCTAAATCACTTCACAAAATATTACCCTGCTCACACTCCAACAGCTCGTTAGGTCCCAAAAACCATTTATCTCAATTCACTCCTATCAAATACGCTCACGCACGCTTGCTGGAAGTCATACTACATAATTACTATGCATTATTTATACAGAGTACCAGATGTACATGACAAATGCTGCAAAAACTTTTGTTTATTAAATAGTTTGAGCTTGAGATATTTAAAACTACAGTGGTCCCTCAATAATCATCCAGCTCGATAGTCGTCCTTTTCGGAAATCGTCGTGTTATTCTTGTCCAAACATTGGCTCGCAAATGGTCGGTTTACTCGCTAATCGTCCTTTGTCTGGGACGTGTACTCACACTCTGAGCCGCCTCGGCCTCCCTTCCCAGCCAGTGTGCCATTGTTTACCAGTGAGCGACGGTCCCCTCACTTGTTCATACGAAATATTCATAATATTCCATTCATTTTAGTGCGTGCAAGTGCTAAATAAGCTACCGTGGCTCCAAAGAAAGCTCCTAGTGCCAAGCCTAAAATGGAGGAATATAGCAAATAATGTTGTTGCAGTGATAACACCAGGAGGCAGCTCTGACGAAAACAAACAAACACACACACACACACACACACACACACACACACGCTTTTAAATCTCTGCACAAAATTCAACTTAAATCAGCAAATAATAGAGCCTACTAGACTGGAGAATACACTAGACCTCATCTTCACTAACAATGACAATCTGTTATGAAATGTCACCATATCAAAAACAATATACTCAGATCACAACATAATCGAGGTTCAGACATGTATGCGCGGAGCCCCAGAACGACATAATGAGATTAGTCACGAGGGAGCCTTCACCAAATTTAACTTCAATAACAAGAACATAAAGTGGAACCAAGTAAACCAAGTCCTAACCGATATAAGCTGGGAAGATAGACTAAGCAACACAGACCCCAACTTATGCCTAGAACAGATTAACTCGGTGGCACTCGATGTATGCTCAAGGCTTATTCCTTTAAGAAAAAGGAGGAGTAGATGTAAAATAGAAAGAGACAGGCGCTCCCTTTACAGGTGACGAAAAAGAATAACGGAGCGGCTAAAAGAGGTCAATATATCTGAAATGCGTAGGGAGACACTGGTCAGAGAAATAGCAAACATCGAACTTAAGCTAAAGGAATCTTATAGGAGTCAGGAATCGCGGGAAGAACTAAAAGCCATAAATGAAATCGAAAGAAACCCAAAGTATTTCTTTTCCTAAGCCAAATCAAAGTCGAGAACAACGTCCAGTATTGGGCCCCTACTTAAACAAGGTGGGTCCTACACAGATGACAGCAAGGAAATGAGTGAGCTAATAAAGTCCCAATATGACTCGGTTTTTAGCAAGTCGCTAACCAGACAGAGTCGAAGATCAAAATTAATTTTTTATGAGAGAGCCACAGAATTTGGTTAACACAAGCCTATCTGATGTTATCCTGACGCCAAATGACTTCGAACAGGCGATAAATGACATGCCCATGCACTCTGCCCCAGGGCCAGACTCGTGGAACTCTGTGTTCATCAAGAACTGCAAGAAGCCCCTATCACGAGCTTTTACCATCCTATGGAGAGGGAGCATGGACACGGGGGTCGTCCCACAGTTACTAAAAACAACAAACATAGCCCCACTCCACAAAGGGGGCAGTAGAGCAATAGCAAAGAACTACAGACCAATAGCACTAACATCCCATATCATAAAAATCTTTGAAAGGGTCCTAAGAAGCAAGACTGCCACCCATGTAGAAACCCATCAATTACACAACCCAGGGCAACATGGGTTTAGAGCAGGTCGCTCCTGTCTGTCTCAACTATTGGATCACTACGACAAGGTCCTAGATGCATTAGAAGACAAAAAGAATGCAGATGTAATATATACAGACTTTGCAAAAGCCTTCGGCAAGTGTGACCATGGCGTAATTGCGCACAAAATGCGTGCTAAAGGAATAACAGGAAAAGCTGGTAGATGGATCTATAATTTCCTCACAAACAGAACACAAAGAGTAGTAGTCGACAGAGTAAATCCGAGGCGGCTACGGTGAAAAGCTCTGTTCCACAAGGCACAGTACTCGCTCCCATCTTGTTTCTCATCCTCACATCTGACAGACAAGGATGTCAGCCACAGCACAGTGTCTTCCTTTGCAGATGACACCCGAATCTGCATGACAGTGTCTTCCATTGCAGACACTGCAAGGCTCCAGGCAGACATCAACCAAATCTTTCAATGGGCTGCAGAAAACAATATGAAGCTCAATGATGAGAAATTTCAATTACTCCGATATGATAAACACGAGGAAATTAAAACCTCATCAGAGTACAAAACAAATTCCGGCCACAAAATAGAGCGAAAACCAACGTCAAAGATCTGGGAGTGATCATGTCGGAGGATCTCACCTTCAAGGACCATAACATTGTATCAATCGCAGATGCTAGAAAAATGACAGGATGGATAATGAAAACCTTCAAAACTAGGGATGCCAAGCCCATGATGACACTCTTCAGGTTGCTTGTTCTATCTAGGCTGGAATATTGCTGCACACTAACAGCACCTTTCAAGGCAGGTGAAATTGCTGACCTAGAAAATGTACAGAGAACCTTCACGGCGCGCATAACAGAAATAAAACACCTCAATTACTGGGAGCACTTGAAGTTCCTGAACCTGTATTCCCTGGAACGCAGGCGGGAGAGATACACGATTATATACACCTGGAAAATCCTAGAGGGACTAGTACTGAACTTGCACACGAAAATCACTCACAACGAAAGCAAAAGACTTGGCAGACGATGCAACATCCCCCCAATGAAAAGCGGGGTGTCACTAGCACGTTAAGAGACAATATAATAAGTGTCAGGGGCCCCGAGACTGTTCAACTGCCTCCCAGCATACATAAGGGGGATTACCAATAGATCCCTGGCAGTCTTCAAGCTGGCACTGGACAAGCACCTAAAGTCGATACCTAACCAGCCGGGCTGTGGCTCGTATGTTGGATTGCGTGCAGCCAGCAGTAACAGCCTGGTTGATCAGGCTCTGATCCACCAGGAGGCCTGGTCACACACCGGGCCGCGGGGGCGTTGACCCCCGGAACTCTCTCCAGGTAAACTCCAGGTAAAGAAAGTGAGAAATACGATTGAATTTAAGAATAACATCATTGAACAATATGAAAGTGGCATACGTGTGGGCAAACTGGCCAGGATGTATAACAAATCCCGTACAACCATATCTTCCATCGTGGCCAAGAAAAAGGAAGTCAAGGAAGCTGTTGTTGCAAAGGGGGTAAATATGCTGACAAAAATGAGATCACCAGTACTCGAAGATGTTGAGAAGTTATTATTGGTGTGGATAAACGAGAAACAATTAGCAGGAGATACTCTTTTGACGTCGATTATTTGTGAAAAGGCTAGGCAGTTGTATGACGATCTGGTAAAGAAATTGCCTGCAACGAGTACTGATAATTGTGAATTTAAGGCCAGCAAAAGTTGGTTTGAGAGATTTAAGAAGCGTAGTAGCATACACAGGCATGGTGAAATGTGGGGTAGGATGAAACATCACCCTGAGAAGGATGTTGCAAGCCTTATCGGCAACTTGTATAGTGACAGTCTTGGCCCATTTTAGAGAAGTTTTAAAGAGATAACAGAAACAGAGCTCTCTGGACACTTTTTTTTGTGAGACAGGACTTCAGTGACTCAAGGTGGTCCTAGTGGTATTAAGAAACAGAGAAGAGAAGCAACCCCAGAAAAGCACTTGGTACCTGAGGTGTTGATGGAAGGGGATTCCCCTTCCAAACAGTAACTAATCCAATCTCTCTCCTCTTCCAGTCTTCCATACACTAAGAAGAATCGCCAATAAAAGTAAGTGTTATGCTATTAATGTTTCATTCATCATGTCCCACTGTACTGTTTATGTACTACATCTATATTTCATATTTAATGTATATATACGTATGTATGTATATGTATGTATTAGGTTTGTTTTGCAAGAATAAAATTTTCATATTTGCATCAGTTAGGAACATTTCATGATTGATTGTTTTGCAATTTGTGTAATTATATTTTTGCTTAATAAAAATAAAAATCCTAGGTAGTAGGTTGGTAGACAGCAACCGCCCAGGGAGGTACTACCTTCCTGCCAAGTGAGTGTAAAGCGAAAGCCTGTAATTGTTTTACATGATGGTAGGATTGCTGGTGTCCCTTTTTCTGTCTCATAAACATGCAAGATTTCAGGTACATCTTGCTACTTCTACTTACACTTAGGTCACACTACACATACATGCACAAGCATTATATATACACACACACACACACCCCTCTGGGTTTTCTGCTATTTTCTTTCTAGTTCTTGTTCTTGTTTATTTCCTCTTATCTCCATGGGGAAGTGGAACAGAATTCTTTCTCCGTAAGCCATGCGTGTTGTAAGAGGCGACTAAAATGCTGGGAGCAAGGGGCTAGTAACCCCTTCTCCCGTATGAATTACTAAATTTGAAAAGAGAAACTTTCGTTTTTCTTTTTGGGCCACCCTGCCTCGGGATACCGCCGGTTTGTTAAAAAAAAAAAAAAAAAAAAAAAAAAAAATCTATATTTCATGTAAAAAAAATTTGTTTTAATACTACTGGGTGTCAGGAATGGATTAATTGTATTTACATTATTTCTTATCTGGAAAATTGATTCGAAAATAGTCTTTTTCGATAATCGTCGCACTTCCAGGAACGGATTAAAGACGATAAATGAGGGACCACTGTACTTTGTTCACTTTGAAATATACACACTGCTATTCTGATTAAACTCAAATTTCTACTTTCAATTTATTTTGAGAAGAGATGATGGTCCTCTTTCTTTACAGCAGTAGGAATTTTCAACTTCATCTCTTTTTCCCTAAAATGTTTTTACAACCATAACTCCTGCACTGTCACCCTATGTTTAATCGTATTGTGCATACTGCACTTTTACAGCGTTTTTTAATTATAACCATTCTTCATTTATTTAGGCTTCCTACAATAAAAATATTCACTACTCACTATAAGGTAAGAATGAAATTTTTTTAAAGTAATGTGTGTATTGTATATGCATTTTGTAGGCCTAGCTCTATTGTTCACTTAATATATAATAGTGTAAACATGTTATAAGGCTTTTACATGTATACAAAATTGAAAAAAAAGGCCATGCTTCACTTTACAGCGATTTTAGTTTTACAGCAGTAGCCCAGAACCTAACTTGCAGTCCTTTTCCAGCAAGGCAAGATGACCCGAAGAAGGAACACACATTCACCATCACTTCATTCCTTTAATCTCTCCAGAAATGCACGTGTATAACTTAAAAAATTCTAAATATAAAGAGAAGCAATACATTATTTGTACAAGCTACCAATAATCTTAAACTGTTTTTACAAGTTTTACAGTTGACTATTAAAATAAACTACCGAAAGAGCCAAGTTGATGAATCTTTACCTCCAAGTTTGCCACATTCTCCAAGCCATATATATTTGCTGTGAAAAGTTCAACATGCGAGGTGAATAGCGTAGATGGCCCATAGTCAAGAGAGGGTGTATCTACCCCTACGCCAAACACCCGACGCCCAGTGGCTGCTTCATATCCTATTAGTAACTGTGCAGCTCCTGGGTTGATTCCTGCAGTAATAAAATGGAAGTCATTATTATGGGAACTGTTGGAAGAAGGAAAAGATGCAACAGAGAATACAAGTCGAGAAAATATCACACTATCTGGATAATTCTGCAGCCAATTTCAGACCTTTTAACTACTTATCATTCAAGAAAAACTATGAATTCTCTTAATGTTTATGTATATAATAAGCATCTTTACTGGCTCTGGACAGTAAAGCATTTTTTTTGCTGATTAAAAACTTATGACTATATCTTGTACAGTACTAACCTATAGCAGTACCCCAGCAACTGGCAGCTAAAGAACACACTAGGGAAAAACAGGGGGGGCTATTTGATATTATGTATTATTATTATTATTATTATTATTTTGCCACACTGGCCATCTTCCATCAAGGTACAGTTACCCCAAAAAGAAGAAACTAAAGTTTTTCTTCTTTTTACATTCAGTAATTTATGCAGGAGAAGGGCTTATCACTAGCGCCTTGCTCCTGGCATTTTAGTTACCTTTTGCGACACGCATAGCTTACACAGGAAGGATTCTTTTCCATTTCCCATGGAGAATTATTATTATTATTATTACTGTATTATATTCATGTGAAACACTAAAACAACAAAAGTCATAGTGTATAGGAAAATAAGTTGATCTGGCTTGAACCAAGAAAGGGAAGGGTTGCTAAAATTCTTTTGATCAAGAGTACTTGACCAGCATAATGGTGCACCTCTGGAAGGGAATATTTTACGAAAGGTCTGGACACGAATGAAGTAATATACTGTATCTTATCAACATTTGACCACAACAATAATAAAACGCACAAATTTAGTTAAATAAAACTAAAATTACGGAACACTTTAGACAAAAGTAATTTATTATCTAGTCATAAAATCCAGTAGAAACACCACATAGCATTCATTTAAAGCAGTCAGTAAGGATAACACTATCCACACGAGATCACCCCAGGCTGCCTTTTCATGCTTGATATTTACCCCTGAATATTTTTAATGCCTAGTTTACTCTGGGTACTCTTCTAGCTTAGCAAGGTGGCAGCCTGGAAAAGCATTCACAATCAAACTGCTGTAAAAAATTATCAGACTATACTTTATTTCATAAAAAGTTCTCTTCATTTTAATTATTTAAATACGTACATGTTACTCCATGGGGAAGTGGAACAGAATTCTTTCTCCGTAAGCCATTCATGTTGTAGGAGGCGACTAAAATGCCAGGAGCAAGGGGCTAGTAACCCCCTCTCCTGTATATATTACATACAGACAGTGATGGAGTGAATGATGGTGAAAGTTTTTCTTTTTCGGGCCACCCTGCCTTGGTGGGAATCGGCCAGTGTGATAATAAATAATAATATAACTAAAGTTACGAAGAGAAACTTTTGTTTTTCTTTTTGGGCCACTCTGCTTCAGTTGGATATGGCCAATTTGTTGAAAGATGTACATGTTACTAATTTACACTTGTATAAATTAGTACCCTTTATGATATTATTTTCAAGAACTACAGTATGTTTTAAGTTTACCGAGGGAGGGTGACCCTAAGGAGAAAAAACACATCCACTCAGTCACTATCTTTCCACAAAAGTGTTGGCATCACAATCAGAGTTACCCTCCGACTGCAACATTACCACTTCTTCAAAGTGTGGGCACTGCCCTTCTCACCTCCAGTACTCAAGTCTGGCAAACAGGTTTCCCCAAATTTCTTCATAAAAATTACCTTGCTCACATTCCAACAGCACCTCCATTAAAAACCACATATTTCCATTCATTATCTAACCTGCTCACACAAGCCTGCTGGATGCTCAACCCCCTAAAACTCAAAGCCTCTTGTATCCCCTACCTGCAACCATTAATGGGATGATCCCTTCCCCTTCTACCTTCCACCTCAGATTTATACACTCTCTTTATCAACCTATCTCTGTCCATCCTCTCTTCATGCCCAAGCAACCTCAACGTCCCCTCCTCAGCTCTGTTGAATTACCAGGCTTAACAGCTGTAATTCTACCTCAGCAAATTTCAAAGCCCAACCCAATCAAAGGTATACTAAAACTACTACATACTACTACTACCCCACAGAATACCTTCTACAGGTCTGCTAGTGGCCAAGTATCTAGGTAAATAGGGGCAATAGGTTGTAGGAGATTCTCATATGTCTATATGCCCACGATTAATTTAAGTTCTTTGATGATAAGCCAAAGGTGAAAAAAAAATATAATCATTATACCTTGTATAATAAATGCTCCAGTATTGTGAGAATGTAGTAGAAATGCTGCATGCAGTATGGGTTTTACAAAAAAAATATCTATGGAAAGATAGTGGTACCTCGGGATACGGACAGCTCAAAACTCGAACAATTATGTAAGTGTATTTATGCAAGTGCTTTTGTAAGTGTATTTTGGGGGTCTGAAATGGATTAATCTAATTTATGTTATTCCTTATGGGAACAAACTCATTTGGTAGCGGCACCTGAACAGCCTCGTATCCCGAGGTACCACTGTATTAGTTTTTTGTATAAAAGTACATTAACTGAATCACTCATAGCAACCCCAATGGAAATAAGTAAAGGACCCCAATGGAAATAAGTCACTCTGTCTGACTTTTTTGGGTCATCCTAGGTTCTCTACACATATGCTGCTATATATGATAATTCTATGTAACTGTATTTGTGTATACCTGAATAAACTTTACTTACTTACTTACACAATGGTGCTATGCCATACCTGCATTAAATATAATTGAACTTACTATTCAATAACTAAATTGAGCACTGTACCTACATCATATACCAAAAAATTGTAAGCTTTAATAATTTCTTACAAAAGAATTTTACATGCATGCAACTTCACATAATACCTTTGACCCACCTGGAAAGATAAGTTTACTCGTATCATTTGTATCTGTGCCAAAGTATGCCGTTTTGTTACCATACCTGAAAATAAGAGAATACATTATTTTTATCACTGATGAATTAAATTTAGAGCATGGCTGTTTACTTAAAACATACTTTACTGTATTAGTTATCAAGCACCATTCAACATCTGGTAACTACCTGTATTTCACAATTCTGTATTGGCTAATCTTTAATAAATAGCTATGAGTGATAATTATTGTTACCTCTCTGATTAATTCTACAGAGTAAGTTTAGTGTGGGACACTCCTCTTTTAGCCTCTAGCTTTAGATAATCAGTTTCTATTAATAATTACAAGGTGCACCTGATAGCTATAAACAAAACTGGAGCTATTACACAAGACCTTAAGAAAGCCTTAAATCAATCTTCAGTGCCAGTAAAACATTTGTACTTGTATAGTCTGAACCATTTTTCATAAAACTAACAGATCAGTCTTGGGTGCATTTTTCTTCTATGGATAAAAAACTTCCACAATTTCTTATATAATCTACAGTATTAGCTGAATCATTTAACTAAACTCCTCCATAAACCTCAATGGACTGACTTATAAAATTTCAAATTTTTATTTCTCTTTATTAGAATTCACAATTACTTTTTCCCTTAAGCATCACTGTTTGATTCCGCCTTCCACCCCTGATGACATCTGCCTCCAAGAAGCTTTAGTTTTGCCTTATTTATTCCAAACAAGATACATTCTTCCTTCACAGAAACGGGTCTGTTTCCAGCTCAGCCCATTAACTGTAGTATTTCTGGCCCTACAAATTAAACTTTTGTACTGTCTCTCAAGTGACCTATACCCTTCCCTCTTTTTAGATTGGACTAAGTTTTAATTGAGAAGTTTCACTTAATACATAAACTGACTTCAAAAGACACTTACCTATTCCCCCAGCCAGTTCTCACGAAGAGAATTACACCATCAGGAAGTGGGCCATGTTCATCCATCCATGCCATCAGATCATCAGAAGTTAGTTCAGCAATTGGGTTATTTTCTACTTTACTTTGAATATCTACCACAACACCTGTTAAAGTCAGAAGTGGATGTTGCGATTTTTCTCCATCAATAGAAACAGACAAACATTATGGGATAGCTGGTACACTATGGAAATAAACATAAGACATCCAAAGTTAAAATTTAACAGTAAACTTACATTTATGGTACTCTAGTAATGATGCTATCTGGACAAAACACTGCATACCACAGAAACAGATTTTGAAATTATTTTCACAACAGTATCAATAACAAATACACAGTGCTATACAGTGTTTCAGTGATAATTTATTTCCATCATTATTTTCAATAGTAATTTCTCCATTACTTGTATAAGTATTCCATCTTCCTAACTATCACCTGTATATGTAATTAGAATTGTTAAAACACTGTACAATTCTTTTACTGAAAATATACATTACATAAATTTACATATACTACCTTACACTACTGTATTTACTGTATTGCTGTCCTTCCGACAGACCACATATACCAATATTAAATTGAAAAAATATCACATAATAAATAATTCGTTTTCAAATCATTTACAGAAATTTACGTGCTTAAACTCAAATAAATCTTCATGCTGAAATAAGCAGAGAAACCAAAGGAGAGAGGTGGAAAAGCAATAATCAAAAGAAAATCTCACGTGAAGAATTGTGTAAGAAGTACTGGTGACTGAACTAGCAATCTTGCATTTGCAAATCAATAATTAGACTGATTTCACTATAGTGTGCAGAAGGTGTAAAATGCTGACAAACTGGAAGGCACCAAATGCAGGTAAGACATTATTGGTATGTTTTGCCATCTGTGGATAAATGTTATATCAATAAAAGTTTCCCTGTACTTTGTGTCTTCTTAACAGGCTTTATTGTTCAAACTAAGACTGTGGGTAGCCTCAACTGCTGTTCAGTTCCAGGGCAGCAGATATGAGACTCATCACATGGCTCAGAAGTGATGAAAGAAATATCTAAACAGAGGGTGTATTAAATTTTCACTGAAAACATGGATAGAGTTATTCTATATGATTCTGTCAAGCATGAGTTTATAATAAAAACACTGGAATGAAATTTTATCCTTACCATGTGAATGTTTGAGAATAAGTGTAATGAATGAACATTAAGTTCTGATATTACTGTTTGTTGGGTGGGACTGAAGAGTATTAAAGAAGGTATTTTTGCGAGCAATGAAAAAGTCATTAAAACACTGTACAGCATGTGGTAAGACCTAAGCATAGAAATCTGAAGTACTACATCCATGACAAGTATTTCACTGGGGTGGAATATAAGAACTTTAATGAGAGATGCCTAGCTCTATCTGTATGCTATGATTTTACAGCTACAGCATTACCAAATTGCCTTGGGTGCAGCAAGCCTGATATGACTTGTGGATTACATGTTTATGGGGAGAGGTGGGATGAGCATTTGGTATGGATGTAAAGGTATGGATAATAGGGTATGGTGTAAGGATGTGGTCATACATACATGCAGCTTTTTAAGGAGCATTTAGCTAAAGCTATAACAAAATATACAAGTAGTTGGAAATAAAGTTTATTTGTATAAAGAAATTCTGACCTGGTCCCATGAGATGAGTGATGGGAATCTGGTCAACTGACCACTTGCCCTCAGCAAAGTGAGACGGAGCATCCAAGTGAGTGCCAGTGTGCTCGGCCATACAAAATCTGTAAGACTCGTACCTGAAAATAATAGTAGTGTGTGTTATCACGACAGCTAAGTTGTATATCATGTAAAATTATAAGTTCTAATTTAAGCATGATTTATAATAACACTGATGATAAGCAATTTACTCAAGCAATAAAAATGATTAGAAAATACATTATACTCACTATTAATTACCATTTATATCTTTTAAAACTCTCATTACCTAATGAATTATCAATTACGTACACTATAGGCTCTTCCACTAATGTGTTTACCAAGGCAGTTCCTTGCCTTCCCATACATTCTTGCATGTGAGCAAGAGTTCACCTAATTCAGAAAAATATTGGAAAATTTATATTGGTATTGTGCCCACACCTGTGTTTTAACCAGTGTAATTAATTTATATTTTTTTTAAGAAACAGTAGTTTCACACTGACAATGTAGAAGACAGTTAAATCTGAGTATGGAGCTCTCTAGAAACAGTGTCCATTTATTTGAATTATATTATTTGAGGGTTATTCAGCTGAATCAAGACTGGAGAGGATTTCCTGTTCCCTGTATTTTCTTGGTCTACTGCAGCCTGGAAAGGTGCCACTTTGGTCTAGGATAATAGGTGCCACTCTCCAGGATAAAAGTGCCACTCTAGGGTAAAAACAGGTCCCACCTTTGTCTAGAATGAAAGAACAGGGGCCACTCTTAACCTAGGTAATATGAAAAGATGCCACTAGACAAAAGGAAAAAAGGTGCCACTGTAGCCTTGGGATAAGAAAGGATCCCACTCATACCTAGGGGAAAGATAGGGTGTCAGTCATGCCTAGGGAAAAGATAGGGTGCCATTCATGCCTAGGGAAAAGGTAGGGTGCCATTCAGGCCTAGGGAAAAGATAGGGTGCCATTCATGCCTAGGGAAAAGATAGGGTGCCATTCATGCCTAGGGAAAAGATAGGGTGCCATTCATGCCTAGGGAAAAGATAGGGTGCCATTCATGCCTAGGGAAAAGATAGGGTGCCATTCATGCCTAGGGAAAAGATAGGGTGCCATTCATGCCTAGGGAAAAGATAGGGTGCCATTCATGCCTAGGGAAAAGATAGGGTGCCATTCATGCTTAGGGAAAAAGATAGGGTGTCGCTGTGGCCAGCGGAAAAGAAAAGGTGCCACTGTGGCCAGAGGAAAAGAAAAAGTGCCATTGCAGTGGAAAGAAAAAGGCACTGTGAGGAGTGTGCGCTGTGGCCAGCGGAAAAGAAAAAGTGCCACTGTGGCCAGCGGAAAAGAAAAAGTGCCACTGTGGCCAGTGGAAAAGAAAAAGTGCCACTGTGGCCAGCAGAAAAGAAAAAGTGCCACTGTGGCCAGCAGAAAAGAAAAAGTGCCACTGTGGCCAGTGGAAAAGAAAAAGTGCCACTGTGGCCAGTGGAAAAGAAAAAGTGCCACTCATGACAAAAACAAAGGATGTTACTCATACCTTTGGGAAAGAAAGTATACAAGAAAAAGAAAAGAAAGAGTGCCATACTCTAGCCTGGGTAAGCGAAAAAGTGCCACTCCAACACAGTAGTTGAAAATTCTTAGCTAAATTGAATAGAGTAGTGCCACATCAATGGTAGAGGAGGGGGTGAAGTACCCAGTACTACCAGAAAACAAAAATGAGTGTCAAAAAAGTGATACTCACCAGTATTCCCCAGGCACTGTGTATCCCTTTGCTAGCTGCTGCCTGGCAAAGGGTTTCCTGGTGGGCCAAGTCATGGAGTCTTCTCCAAATTCGTAGCCCATATCCACATACTGGTTATTAGGCCCACTCTGCACCCCTACCACCCATACCAGAGCCAGATAAACCACCACAGGCATGACTGGCACTGTCAGCTGGGTTTTTAGGCTTATATAAAACTACATGAGGAACATTAAGGCTTGAAGGCACCCAGGCACCGTAGGTGCCAATACTGTTGGCACTGTGTGGGAGTGTTAACGAGATAAAAGTATATACACCGATAATATCACACTTGGCGATGTATATACCTAGTGGGTGGAGAGACAGTGGCTCACACACGTCCACTAGACAGGTACTGCTGGGGTACGTGGGCATCATCCTGATGATTGGTGGGGCACCTGAAGATTCGAATACCAAGGATACTGAAGCTTTGACTCACATCAACTCAGGGGACTGACGTTTGTTTTGGTTTATTGGTTTGTTTTAGGGCTTTTACTTGTTTTAGGGTTTTTACTTGTTTTAGGGCTTTTACTTGTTTTAGGGCTTTTACTTGTTTTAGGGTTTTTACTTGTTTTAGGGCTTTTACTTGTTTTAGGGCTTTTACTTGTTTTAGGGTTTTTACTTGTTTTAGGGCTTTTACTTGTTTTAGGGCTTTTACTTGTTTTAGGCCTTTTACTTGTTTTAGGCCTTTTACTTGTTTTAGGGTTTTTACTTGTTTTAGGGCTTTTACTTGTTTTAGGGCTTTTACTTGTTTTAGGGCTTTTACTTGTTTTAGGGCTTTTACTTGTTTTAGGGCTTTTACTTGTTTTAGGCCTTTTACTTGTTTTAGGGTTTTTACTTGTTTTAGGGCTTTTACTTGTTTTAGGCCTTTTACTTGTTTTGGGGTTTTTACTTGTTTTAGGGCTTTTACTTGTTTTAGGCCTTTTACTTGTTTTAGGCCTTTTACTTGTTTTAGGACTTTTACTTGTTTTAGGCCTTTTACTTGTTTTAGGCCTTTTACTTGTTTTAGGACTTTTACTTGTTTTAAGCATGGTAATTATACTTTTGACTTTTTGGGCTATCATTATTCTAATCAAAACCAAGCGCTAAACCCACAAGGGTCATACAGCGTTCTTTGGGCTATACCAGATAATTTACAAAAATGTTACTATGATAATTGTACTTATGTACTTAAATAAACTTGCTTATACCTCGGTGCAAATTGTATGCTGTATAACCCTTGTGGTTTAGCGCTTCTTTTTGATTGTAATAATAATAATCGGTGTAAATTGTTACGTTTTTTTGAGCAAACTGTTAATTTGGGAGATATTTAAAAAATATTTACAGGTACTCTAGGTATACAACAGTAACAGCCTGGTTGATCAGGCCCTGATCTACCACGAGGCCTGGTCATAGATCGGACCTGTGTACCTCTCCAGGTACACATTTTGTTACGTACAACACGTCAAGGCCAATCAACGGTTAGTATTGATGTTCCTAGCCAGTCACAGCTAACATAAACCTCAGGCGTGCCTGTCCCACAACTTCCGCTGGAGGGGTAAGGTTAAGTTACGTTAGGTTGGGTTTAGTTACATTTCTTACGTCCCTGCAACATAAAGCTGTCACTACACCTCTGGGCCCCTCAAGGGAGGTTCCTTGATGCTGGTGAGGGGCTCTTGATCTAGGGAATTGGATCTGTGCTCCGGTTCCCTGAATTGAGTCTCGATACCTTCCATCTCTCCCCCCACATGCGCTGTATAATCCTACGGGTTTAGCGCTCCCCTATGATTATAATGATAATACACCCTGGGAAAACAGAACACAAATTGAAAAGGGTAATGGGGAATCCATTATTACAGCAAATTCAGTGAAATATCTGGGAATCCCCTCTGACCCAAGCATGTCAGGAGAATTAACAAGGAACAATGGTGTAAAGAAGAATGCCAGACCAAAGTTCCTCTACAGACAGGACACAGGCACAGTGCCTGCCTACTGAGGCTCTCAGGACCCTAGCTCTCTTACAATATATTATAGACTACTCTTGTTCTTCATGGTACTCTGGCTATAAATCACCCAGGACAAAACGGTGGGATTCATTCTGGACCTGGGTACAAGAGAGCATGTAGGCCAGGATGAGTTACAAAACCATACATGCTGAATGTTCAAGACACAGGTAAATCAACTGCAACTAAATTAAGGATTAAGACGACGAGAGCTGTCGTGAGATGGGAAGGAAGAAGGATAAGGAAGGATGGAAATAACTGGAAAAGGATGGGAAGGAGAGGAAGAGGAGGCATCAAGGCAAGTGGCCCAACCACTTTGGGATATGTGGTATCGAAGTATTGGAGGCCTATATGGAGAGGCTTGAATGATGTCGTTCAGCTAAATTACGTTTATAAAATTGCTGACAACCAGTGTCCCCCAATATCTTACTGCCAAATTTATTGAGGCTGGGAACTCATGCACTTACAGAACTAGGGGAAGGGAGAACAACTTTGCAATACCTAGAGTCAGTGGTCAGGCTTCAAAGACATTTTTCTGTTCAACAATAAAAGAGTGGAATAGACTGCCTGTGCACATGTCAAAGCCTGTCATAGCATGAGCCAGTTCAAGAAGAGAGCCAAAATGTACCTCATGAATAAGGCTACAGAAAGGGACAAGAGTGATTTCTTGTTAATGAAATAACTAATTTTAAATCTCCCCTAGTATATCTTCTTTTATTGTAACTCCTTTTACATAATTAAGATACCTGCTGTAGATGAATGGTTCAAAGAACCGACATGTTGTTAAATTAGACACATGTGCAACTCTTGGGTATCTTTATCGAGGAAACGTTTCGCCACACAGTGGCTTCGTCAGTCCATACAAAGGATAAACTTGAAGAACAGGAGGAGAATGAGGTAATCAGTCCCTCAACCTTGAGTCGATGTGGTCAGTCCATCAATCTTGAATAGAATACGGCATAGGAGCGGAGAAGCAGCTTATAAACCGTATGGCAGGAGAGGTGCAGCAGTCATAGGTGGTGTCACATTTGTCCAATGTGGAAGTAGGTCGTGTCCAAGGGTTAGGCAAGCGAAGAATTCCCAAGTATTAAGATCCCAAGAAGTTGCAGTGTTTGACAGGATAAAGATACCCAAGAGTTGCACATGTGTCTAATTTAACATGTCGGTTCTTTGAACCATTCATCTACAATCCTGTCAGACACTGCAACTTCTTGGGATCTTAATACTTGGGAATTCTTCGCTTGCCTAACCCTTGGGCACGACCTACTTCCACAATGGACAAATGTGACACCACCTATGACTGCTGCACCTCTCCTGCCATACGGTTTATAAGCTCCTTCTCCGCTCCTATGCCGTATTCTATTCAAGATTGATGGACTGACCACATCGACTCAAGGCTGAGGGACTGATTACCTCATTCTCCTCCTGTTCTTCAAGTTTATCCTTTATATGGACTGATGAAGCCACTGTGTGGCGAAACGTTTCCTCGATAAAGGTACCCAAGAGTTGCACATGTGTTTAATTTAACAAGATACCTGCTTTCAACTTTGAAATATAAGTAACAATTATACAAGGACCCCAATGGATACGTCAGTGACCTTTTTTTGGGGTTATCCCAGGTTCCCTACACATGCTGCTATGTTTGATAATCAATATAACTGTGACCTGACCCAAGTAGGTTAGGGCATTGGCTTAAGTCTGTAGGAGACTTGGACCTGCCTCGCATGGGCCAGTAAGCCTGCTGCAGTGTTCCTTCTGTATGTTCTTATGTATACCTGGATAAATTTACTAAAAGTCTATGACTAAACAAACCTAACACTAGACATTTTTTTGGAATTACCGTTAAATTTACACAAGGACTAGATCCCCATATAATTATCACCCAACATTCTCAAGGTAGCATTGCTTGCGAAAGCAGTTGTGAGCCAGGGTCTAATTTAGATCTGATCAGGGCTTAATGCTCCTTTAAAAAAAAAGTCAGCTCCCCAGTAGATCTCAGTAAAGTACCACAGAATATTTAGAAGTTGACCATAAAGCGTAGTGAAGATTTCATTTCCCCCCCCCCAAATAGACACGTATGCGGGTTTAAAGACATTTACCAGAGCGAGGCAGTATAAATAGTGGTGATCAGGTGCTGTGGTGGAAACGGAAGTACTAATTTGGCAAGAACTTTAAATGTAGGTTGGACGGGCACATCAAGCACGGGCCAATAAGTCTGCTTGCATTGTTTCTTCATTCGTGTGTGTTCTTACGCGTACGTATTTGACTGAAGAAACCTAGAGTACAGGCGAGACGTTTTGACAAACGGGCGCCGTGGCCTGGTAGCAAAAGCTCTCGCTTCACACGGTGAGGGTCCGGGTTCGATTCCCGGCGAAGGGGTGGAAACATCGGACGTGTTTCCTTACACTGGTTGTCTATGTTCACCTATCAATAAAATGAGTACCTGGGTGTTAGTGGACTGGTGTGGGTCGCATCCTGGGACAAAACTGACCTAATTTGCGGGAAATGCTCAGCAAAACAAGCGGCTTTCTATATAGTAGTATGTCATTGATGTCAGCTATGGTCTGTATACCTTGTACATGTACTGGTAGTAAATAAAGATTATTATTAATGTCGCGCAAAGACCGACTGGATCCTTCACTCTCCCCTACGACCTACGGAGGGAATGGAAGGCAAAGAGACAGTTGCCTGGGCGAGAGCTCCCCCTACCCACAGGGGAAGCCCAGTGCAGAAAAAACTTTAGGAAAGGTTAAAGTAGGAACTTTCCGCTGGGTGGGGGCGACCTGCCACACTGTCAAGATTTGGATATGTTTGGGCCGACTGAACACGCCCCCCTAGACGGATACCTTGCTGTGCAACCCAATATTTCGTGATGGATCAAGTACACAGAGGTTAATGGGTCTAGCAAAGCTTCCACCAATGAATAACCTGAATATACCACATGGCATTTTCAGTAGAGTGACTGCCTAGATTTCCGAAACTATGTTTTCTGTATACCTGGAGTTTACCTGGAGAGAGTTCCGGGGGTCAACGTCCCCGCGGCCCGGTCTGTGACTAGGCCGCCTGATGGATCAGAGCCTGATCAACCAGGCTGTTACTGCTGGCTGCACGCAATCCAACGTACGAGCCACAGCCCGGCTGGTCAGGTACCAACTTTAGGTGCTTGTCCAGTGCCATAGATGAGAGATTTAGACCCGTATGGGTCATACAGCGACTGGGAGAATGAAGGCATTTAGGTTCGGCTCAAGGATGGGGAGGGCATGTTCAATTCCTTGGATCAAGAGCCCCTCACCGGCATCAAGGAACTTCCTCTGAAGGAACTGCATATGCAAAATACGTATGCAATAATTAGAAAGCCCATAGTATGCACAGCATTTCAGGCAAAACTAAGTTTTAAGAACTATGT